TGAAGTGTCAGATCCGCTGGTACTCTCTGTGACTGTAGTGGTAGAAGAAGAAGGCTGTTCTGCTGCAGCGTCAGCCGTTGTTGCATTTCCACCTGCTGTACTGTTATCGCTGCTTTCAGCGTGATCTTCAACTGCAGTCTGGCCACCAGTTTCCTTACCAGGAGCTGAAGCAGCGAGATCAGCTTCGCGTTGATCAGGTTTCGTAGCTTGACTTGTTCCCGGAACAGAACTGGTTGAAGCAGCAGTAGCAGCTGCAGGAAGAGCACCAGTACCTTCAGCACCATTACCACCAGCTCCTGTACCTGGTCCAGCAGCACCAGCAGCGCCAACAGTACCAGTAGGACCGCGTTCGCCTTCAGGAGCCGGTTCCTTTGGTGAAGGTGGGGCTGGTTCCTTTGATCGACAAGTAGGTTTGGTATCTTTACGGCAATTTTCTTCACTCCCACCATCCTCGGTAGGGCAAATCTCCTTCTCAGATGGTTCCGCACACTCAGAAAGATCTTGTTCTTCCACGTCAGTTTCATTTTCACACTTGCAACCCTTCTTGCCTGTATCACTACAAGCACCATCATCAGAAACAGTTGAAGGATCAGAACATGTACTTTCTACCTCTCCAGCCTCTCCAGCCGCCATACACACACAGGCAACAGTCAAAAGCAATGCCATAAAAAACAACAGTCGTCGCAGCAACATCATGAAAAAAAGTTACTTGAATTGTTCAATGTAACCAAAACTCAGAAAAAAAAAAAGAACCGAATAAAAAATAAATTACATACATACAAAAACAGAAGGAAAACCACAGAAAAAGAAAACAAAAAAAATTTAGCAAAATCACAAGACAAGGCAACGCGCACAAACATTAAAGAGCCCAACAAAGAACAGAATGCCCAGTAAGGAAAAAAGGTTGTCCCAATTAACCCCTCAAAACCGAAAAAGCATTGAGAGAACGACTATCATTAGCACAAAGCACGGAAATACAAAACATTTTCACTTTCGGTGGAACCATGTGCACATGTATGAATATATGTGTATTTCTTTTTTTGTTTTTCCGCACAAAACAATTCAACAGCAAAGTGAAGGACAAAGCACACAGCGGCCACAAAAAGAAAAAGAAACAAAAAAATTGAGAGAAGCACCAATCACACAAAAAAAACTCACAGAACTCTAGCTATGCTGGTGTGTGTATGCAATTAAGAATACATATATATAAATTAATACTTTTTCTTTTCTCTGCACAAAACAAAAAAGGGAACCACAAGCAAATAAAAAGATATTAATCATTAGCCCAATTTACCCAGTAAACACAGAACTATACACCAACTATGGGTGTAAGTCTATATGTGTGTATATACGCAATTATAAATATAAATTCATCTGTTATTATTATCTCTTTCTTCCCACTACAAAAAAGCAGTTCATAATCATTATCACAGTACAAGCCCACAGGCACACACAGAGAGAGTCTCCAAGAACACACACACAAACACACACAATGGAGTAGCAATAATTATAATTATAGGATAAACATAGAGAGAGCAAAAACATACAAAACACATTAACATTAGGAAACAAAAAAAGAAGAAAGAAAATCCCAACAGGTGAAAGATTAGTTAGAATGTAGGGATGTATGCAAAAAAGAAGAAAAGAAAACAAAGGATGACCTGAGTCACACCACACCACACCACACCACCACCACCATCACTCAATCAGCACACAAGAATACAGGCCAGTGTAACCACAATCAGTAGTGGCAGACGCATCCACACAGAACTGCTGATACTGCTGCTGCTGTCTGCATCACCCTTCTTGTTGTTTGTGAGTTCAGGAGGAAGTGTTGTTGTTGTTGAGGTGGTGGTGGTGGTTGATTCCTCATTAGTGGATGTGCTGTCAGTTTCAGGGTTCGTGCTCGCTGAGTTATTCGTTGATGTCTCTGCAGAATTACCACCTTCCGCAGTTCCATCAGTTTGCGAAGATGCAGAAGTAGGAGATGATTGTGCACCTGTACCTTCTCCACTGGCTGTACTGGTGTTGACTGCGCTACTATTATTGGATGTATCACCAGATTGTTGAGGTTGCTGTGGTGAAACTTCTTGATTTGAGTTCTCTGTCACCTCAGGCTTTGCTTCTTCACTTTGTATGGAATCTGCACGGCCATCGTGCTGCTGTTGACTT